CGTCTATACTCTCGCTTAAATCATCCTTCTACTGACCGAATATTATGCACAGTACTTTATTTTCAAAAATCTTATAGGTAGAACGAAAGTTAGTTTTTGTATTAACATCATGTGCCTAATGATTAATATAATAACTACCTACATGAAATGGTTTTTATGTAGTTCTTAAAGTCCTAATAAAAATTAAATTATACAAACAATAACACTTTTAGAGATAATATTTTATTCGTTATAAATGACCAGTTTATTCATTATATAAGTATTTTAAAAAAATCCATTTTAGGAAGAGATTCAGCCCGAAATTCCCTTCCACTAGACCCGCAAGTGATGTATCATGCAAAATTTGTGTAATAAACCTCTTTGACATTTATCAATAATTTTTAATATCTTCAAGAAGTAGAGTTTTCTATACATATACACTTAAAATGGTTTATAACACTTTTTATATTGATATCCTTAATATAGAAGCTTCACATACTTGAAATGCTTTAAATACTTCATCTCTTCTTCTATTCTTTTTTTTTTTCTCTATTTGGTTTTTATAGACTCTTGCCGCCTCAACCAGTCTCCTCTACCTCTGGCTATCTTGGGCTATTGCTTTTCACTTTCCAGCTCTGTACCATCTTTGTCGATTGCATCTATTCATCTGGTTTTTAGCCTCCCGTGATCTCTCACCATCTGTTGAGGCATAGTTGTGCAGAGGCGTTCTCATGGATTGTTTCGAGCAATATATCTAGCACATTTTAATTTCCTTGCCTTGGTACCATGAGATATTGAATTGACCAGTTTCTGTAATTTTACATCTATACTTTTTCCTATAATTCTATACAACAAGTAGGGAACGTTTTTGTGCGATAATCATTAGTCTAGTGAGGAATTTATTGCATATATATATTGTATAAATTTATATATGTATATATTGTATAAATGTATATATTATAAAGGCCTTCCACGTGAGAGGCCTTTGGTTCGGAGCTCGCGGAACGATACCAGACTCAACAAGGAGCTTCATGGAGGGCCTTGGTGTCGACATAAAGGACGTGGCAAGGTTGGCAGAGAACATAATCCTTGACTCCCTGGGAATTATCCATCACCATGTGCATGGATAGAGAGTTTTTCATGGGGGGAGGCATGCGTGTTTTGCAGCATTTTTACATTATTTATTGACCACGTCCACTGCACTTTATGTATTTGTATGCATGTTATGAATTAGGTTAGGAAAAGAGAGGAGAAAAATGTATAGAGTGAGAGAAGGAACAGAAAGGGATGTATAGTGCTAATAAGTGAATTAAAGAAATAGTAAAAATAAAATAAATAAATAAATAAAATAAAAAAAAATAAATAAATAAAAATATAGGAAAAAAATTGTGATAAAAAAAAAAAATATATATATAGATAAAAAAAAAAAAAAAAAATTGTATATTATGCTCATATATGTTGTTAATACTATATAATTGTATATTAGTTTTGGAAAATTGTCTGTAGCGATTAATAAGTATGCTGTGTTTAAAGCAACCCAATGTAATTGGGCAGCACCCTTTTATGATAATAAAGTGATTCTCTCTATTATATATGTAATTGTTTCAATAAACATTTTGGAGGGTAAGAAAAAAAAAAAAAAAAAATCAAAAATCTTAAGACGTTGCTTATCCCTCAATGTAAGCGGACACATTTCGCATCTATAAAGAACTGTAGGTAAGACAATGGTTTTATAGATTCTAGTTTTTCTAGTTTTTAAGTTCTGGGACAAGAAGCGCGAGCTAAGTAGTTTTGAAACAAAAAAATAACAAGCATTTCCAGCCTTCAGCTTAACCTTAATCTCCTCTTCAATTTCGTTTTTTCCAGTTACCGTAGACCCTAGAAACCTAAACTACGTGTTCGAACATATTACCTTCTATATCGATATCAACAGCAATATCGCCATTTTTGAAGTTAACCATATATTTTGTTTTTTCTGTCGGTAAGCCAGATTTTCACTATTTTCTCATCAAGTTTAACGATCAAGTTATATTTTAAAGCTTATTTTTTCTTTACGAGAAAAGTAAAAAAAAAAAAAATTATGAAGAGAGGGAAACTTTAGTAGCGGAATACTGATAATTTTTCTAAAATTTCTCGGTAAATCCTTGTTCGTTGTCTTCCGTGAACATTTTCGTGTCTGAAACTCTGTAATCCACCTCTAACTAAGTATTCCACTTTACACTTAAGTATGTCAAACATCAACCAGGAAAGACAGGGGTTAGCTTATAAATATAAAACATAAATTATTCAACTTAAATAAGCTAAGTGGCTCAATGTTTTCAACTTTTGTTGATTTTACAGAAAGAAACACTTTCCTGGACAATTTAATCGAGTTGGTTGACTCCAACCCAGATTTATTCAATGAATCTAATATCAGAGAAGAAGTAGACACTTTTTTGATTGCGGTAACTATTTTTTAAATTTTTAGTTGATGTGAAATATTATAAAAATTATATGTTTTTTTGTTTTTTTTTAAGGCTTCCAATAAAGGAGAGCCTTTTGTTCACACTTGCATAAATTTATCTATGCAGATAATGAACATCGGTTCGTTTTTCGAAAAATATTTTATTGAATATTTTATTTTATTGATGAAATTTTCTTTGAATGTTAAAATATATATATAATTATTTTATATAAAATGTTAATTTATATAAATTTTAATATTAATACAGACTATATTACAGAGACATAATCCATCAACATCAGCTCTGAAGTTCTTGCACTTTTTACTGGCCAACCATCCAGATGTTCAGGTGTGTTTCCATGACTTTATTTAAAATATGAATATGCATTAAAACTTTTATTAGAAACACCTCTATGGAAAATGGAACACTTCATGATTTTGGGGGTTTGATAGTGTTGCCCAAAATCGGTCTTGATCTTGTACTTTGCAAGACCAAGATGAAGACAGCCTAAGTGTTGCAAGACTTGTAAAAAAAATCGTTTTTAAAAATAAAAATTAATGTAAAATGGTTACTAATACTTGGGTTACTATATGTAACGAATTGGTATAAACAACATACTTTTGCATTTAACTCTTCTAATTTTTCATTCATACTAGGTTAGGTTTCTCCTATCTAAAAAATTACGGTAATGTCTCTATAGCAATAATCTAATAGGTAACTGCGAGACTCTTGCGCAAGACCAAGACCAAAACCAAAACTAGTATGCAATGTTTTCTGTTAAATTCTTGGACATTCCTATGGATCCTGAAATTTTGTTTACAAAAACTAATGAATAGTTTAATAAAAAACTATTTCTGGTAACTGTCCCGAGAACAAAAAAACTAATTTAGAAGTTAAGCATATCATAAGAAGACCTATTTGGATTTACTCTTAATTGAGCTCTGGGGCTCCACTAAACCATCGAATTCCTCTCGTATCCAATCCTTACAATCCAAAATCCTTTGTAAAATCCTCAACGCTCCTTACTTTGTCACAAACAAAATCATCCATAAAGACCTTAATGTTCCATATGTTTCCGATTTTGCCCAATCCAGATACCTATCCTTCCATAACAAACTGCAGAACCATCCGAACCCTCTTGTTTCAAACCTTGCTTCCTCCTCGATCCCTGATAACCCTCCGAGGTGTCTGAAAAGAATATGGCCTCGGGATCTTCTAATATAGAACTTTAATTTGAGTTCTACCAATGGGTAATTTCTCTTCATGTTTTACATGTCATGTTACCAATGTCACATTTACTTGTTGCATTTTTAATGTAATATCGTTGTAAATTTCATTAAAATAAAAAAAATAAAAAAAAGGTTTCGCATAAAGGTTCGGAAATGTGTCATTATTTTATACATGCTTATATTGCTGCGTCTATCTTCATCTGTCTTACTAATTTCATTTATTAATTATAATGTATCTGTTTATTGAACTCAAAATTATTTTAATATTTATTTTATGCTGTTACTTGTTCAATGATGACTTCAATTCTTTTGAGTTATGTTTCTGAGAGGAATTTATGTTGCCGGTCTGGATCTTTATAGTAGCTTAATAATATTATTATATTATATTGTATATTATATTATTAAGCCATTCTAAAATCTTACAAGCAGAGCGCCATCTTGAGCTTAGAAAGAAAGTGAGCTCTTCTCTACCCCCTTTTCTGTGATTTCAAATCGCACTCTATCGAAATATTAGAAAATATTAATATTTTTATGGCGTATGTGAATAATAGGAAATCGGCATGATTCATATTGCGAGTACGTCCTTTGTGGAATTTCCGACTTCCGACAATTGTGGGATAGGCTTCACTTAGATCTTGACACATCCACTCATTCAGCCTCATCTCATAATAATAATAAATTAAAATTAAAATTTACCTATGGCATGGTTTCTAATTGTTAATTATACAGGGTGTTCCGTAATTAAAGGGACAATTTCATACAAGTGATAGCAAACAACAATAGCTACAAAAAAGTTCATGTAAACCATTTCCTGTTTTTCTTCGACCGTCCTAAATACAATTTAACTAAACATCCAATAAGTCTACTATTAGGTTTGGCAAATTGTTGAGAGGTTCTTTACCTGATGCTTTTTGCTCAAAGGGTATCTGACATATATATATATATATATATATATATATATATATATATATATATATATATATATATATATATATATCGTTATGGCTTAATGACAAACAATATTTATTCATGAAACGAAATAAACCGCGAATTTCTTATTTTATGTAACATTTTTCCGATCAATTTCTGCTATTGCCTGAAGACAAAAAAGTAGTTTAAACAATTTTTTTTGTTATTTATTTCTGAATATGCACCAAATCACGAATGATATTGAAATCTCAAAACTGCACTTTATAATAAATTTTACTTGATAGTTTTTTCAGTGGGCTGTCGACGTTCAAAGTTTAGTGGAAAAATAAATCCATTTGTTTTTGATAAGTTATTGGGAGTCCCTATTGTATTTAACCATCAATATTTCCCTAAATTAAATAGAAAATAATTTATTTTTAGGAAAAGGTACACGATGAACAGGTGGAAATATTCGGAAATGATAAAGAACTCCAACGGCAAAAGATCTCCAAAAAATGATTTACCTCGAGATGGTGATCAAGGAAACATTGAGACTGTATCCAAGCGTACCATTTCATTCTAGACCAATAATTGAAGATATAAAAATTGGTAAGAAAAAAACTTCTAAAATTATTTTATTTAATGAGGATAATAATAATTTTTCTCACTTATTTCTTAAAATTTGTTTAGATGAAAACACCGTCATTCCAGCGAGTTATACCGTTGGAGTGTTTACTTACGCTCTCCATCGATCCAAAAATCATTGGGATAATCCAGAGGAGTTTATTCCTGAAAGGTTCGTTCCTGGGATTGAAAGATGTCCGTTTTCATTTATACCGTTTTCAGCTGGTCCAAGAAATTGCATAGGTAATGTTAGAAATTGAAAGTTTGATGCCTGATAGAGTGAATTTCTTCCTGAATAAGTAATATTAATTATTTTTACAGGCCAGAGATACGCAATGATGGAGTTAAAGACGATCATGTCGATAGTAGTGCGGCAGTGCTTGCTAGAGCCAGTCACAACTTCGATAAGCTTGGACTATGGTATTACATTAAACGCAGCAGAACCGATAATCGTTAAGGCTATTTCAAGGAATGGAACCCGAAGAATGATTCCCATGATGAATGGTTAAGATTCGCTGTAAAAGAAAGCGTTACAACTAATCATTTATTCAAGACATAAGACCTAAACTTGAAACTCTTTAAGTTTAAAGGTAATATCATTAAGGTGAAACACGCATTGAGTTAATAATTTGTATCATTATACACAAATATTTATTGCAGTGTTTATTTATTTCAGTCAACTCCCCCAAAATACCAAATAAAGCATTAGAATTAACCTCTCCGAAATCGATGATGATTTAACAAAAATACCATTTGGTTTTTTTGCAATACAATTTCAAACCAGGACTTTATAGATTGATCATTAATAATAATAATTTTTTCAATTGGATTAAGTTTTAAATTTTTTTTTATTCATTTAATTTTTTCAACTCACACCTGCCAGAAGTTTTGACAATTAGCTAGCGTGGTGTCAAGATGTAAAAGATTAACAGGTCTTGGATTTGGTGTGAGGGAGACTTACAAAAAAACCAACACTTACAGGAATGATAATCGATTGGGAAACTTACAACAACTGCTTAAATTCAACGCTCTCTTAAGACCGAAGGTGAACTCGAAAAAGTCATTGAAAAGTTCACAATCAGCTTACAACAGGCTGTATGGTCATCATCCATACCATGTTTTAAATAATTATACAAAGTAGATCATAGACATTTTTGAAGAAAATACACCATATTTAGGCATTATTTTAAATTTAAAAATAAAATACATTGTCTGTGGTTTGTACTTAATGAAATATAAAATTCATTGTTTATAACTGTATTTTATTTTGAAAATACAAAATACATTTCAATGTATTATTATTTTATTTCTAAAATACAAAATACATAATAGGTATTATATTTTGTATTTTAAATACTTAAAATACATTATCAAATTGAGGAAGCGCCTTTAAGTTATATAGTAAGGCTAGTCGTTCGAACTAGAACTCGCCCATGAAAATTGAGCTTGAATTTTTTTCAACGTCGATGGTGCTTAAATTTTGTAGTCCAATTATCTTTCGCAATAAAGCCGGTAGACATTTAGAAATTATGAAAGGTCCTAAGATTTTTTTCATTGGATGGACGAAAGAGTGTATATTCGATGTATAGATTGTTGAGAGAAACAAAGGAAATTTCATTTATACGGTTTCAAAGATTTTATCCTTAAAAAAAAAATAAAGGAATGCTGGAATTATCCTGAAGAAATGCAAGAAATATACATTTTTGATTACAACGATGTTGAAATTACAATTAAATGCTCTTAGAGATTTAAAAACATCGTTAAAATGATAAAACTAAAAATTTCAGGTAAATATTCGTTAATGAAAATTACAATTAAATTAATACAATAAACACAATTAAATTAAATTTAATTATTAAAAATACAACTTTTTCAATAAAATTATTATTAAAAATTATATGCTAAGATATTTTTACTAATCACTTAATATAATGGGAGAAGTGAAATTGTGATATATATTTATTGTCGATGAGTATGCAAATGACTAAGCCTAAAGTATATAAATAACTCAAATACCTATATATACAAATACCATTCTCGCTCAGTTCATGCCTTAGCTTATTGTCTTTATCACTTTTAAAATAAAATTGAGAGAATTAGTGAGTTAATTGAAAGCATTGAAACATTTGTTTTTCCTTTTTTTTTTCCCATTATTCATATCATTATAATATTTGAAAGAACAAGTGGACTGTATTGAAATGAAGTATAATTACATTTAAACATTGAATAAAGATGGGGGTTTGGCGTATAATGGTCTACAATCGTTTACTTGATGTGGCTGGATGCTGAAGTACGGTGGTCGGCCGGCTGCTACACTTTTCACCTCCATGTGTCCGGTAGGTCTCGGTGTTCTACTCCATGCCTCTTCCCATGGTAGAACAGCAAGAAAGTAATCTTGAAGAGGATAGAGTATTCGTCTACTTCGTGTGGTTTCAGTCGCCCATTTTTTCTCTTCTGCTACTAGTTTTTGGTGCATACAGCGCCACCGTCGCTGCAATGTTACCAACTTCACTGGTCTTTTATGTACCCCATGAAGGGGGGGGGGAGTAACACCAATTTAGGGTGATCAACCCTAAACAAACCGCCCACCTAAATTATACTCAATAATTTAAAATAAAGAAAAAATACATTTGTAAGGTGCCTTGGTGAGCTTCAATTAAGAAAAAACAGAAACAAATGTTAATTGAGGAAAGGTTAATGCATATTAATGCTAAAATAAATTGATTATTTGAATGAGATACAAGATATTGAATATAAACAATAAATAAGTAAAGATAGAAAAAAAAATAAATACGACTCCTTGAATAAGTGACATTAACAGACTAGAAAAAGTTAATGGAGTCCTCAATCTTCTGAGTGATCTTCCATCTCAGAGGTAAAAAAAGATTAAGTTTGTTCAGAACTCTGTTTTCAGAATGTTTCTGGGATATTAATAACCTTTTCCATAGAGAAACTTACTGAAAATAGTATGTATTACTTCCTATCACTGAATTTACCCTTTGTTTTTAGCAAATGGTTTGACTGATTGCAGATTACAACTCTTCAGCAAATGAATTTAGATGATTCAGTATTGTTAATTGTCCAAATCTTAGGTTTTGCTGAAGTTTGGAAAAAACTATAAAACATAATGATTAATCCATAACAACTTATTAATGAGTTGAGGTGGGTATTTGATTACTTGTATCATGGTATATTAAGGTTTGCTGTTTGGTGTCATATACAAAATGACAAACAAAGAAACTGTAGCACATGAGTTACTAATTAAAAATAGCTAAACAAAAGTTTGCACATACCGCCCACCCTGCAAAGACCATGGGAACAAAAAGGTATGTGGAATAATAAGTTACTGTGAATTTCCTAGGCGTTAAGAATTGAGAATTTTAAGGAAAAAGACCTTGAACCTTTATTGCGCAAAATACAGAGCTACCAGTATAGAAATTAAAACTGAGGTGGAAGACCGGAGACTAATTCAATGATCATGGATTGCAAAATGGTTGAGCAAAGATGTTGGATCCAAAACTAAATATTTCACATTGCGTGAAATTTAAGAGTAAAGTGCTCTGATTATAAACTATAATGAACGCTCTGAAAGCGTCATAGGCATAAATGAAGTTTTCCAACACTTTGATTCCCTTGATAACAATTGGTTCTAACTAGGTTGGAAGTTTCTAACAATTAATGAATTAGCCATTTTCTAAGGCAGGTTCTACTGAAGGAATGTAGAGCTGATATTGTAGAACTGCCGCAATCCAAGGATCATGTATCCGCCATCTTGGTTATAACACAAGAGTTGTGGGCGGATACATGAAGGAAACAAGATAACATCAGTATCTCCCACCCGAAGTAAATATATGATTTCTCTAAGCAGTTGCAGAGCCTGCTGCAGAGTAATGTATCTAGCTGGAGGTAAGCTATATTCAGTTGAGCATTTCTCGAAGATGGATTGCGATTCTGCATATTAATAATGAAATATAAAAATAAAAATTTTGAAGTGAATTTTTAATTGAGGTAATAAAATAAATGGTTTTATCACCAATTAATATTTATCATTTTTTCGAAATTCCTCATTACCTTACGCGTTCTATGTATGTTTAAACCTATACCTCTACAACCCATGAAGGGTCTTGGGTTCAGTACTATTTAGGATAAGTTCTGTTTATTAGTCAACGGTTGTGCAAGGAGGTGATTTGATTGAAATCACGCTCAAAGCCAGGCTTTTCCCTCTAATTAATTATTTAATTAAGGGTACCCACTTTATACAGGCTGGGTGTGCCACAGGAGGGTCTCGTAATCTCAGGATCGCTCCACGGCTAATGAATCAGAATAAATAATTTTTCTACCAAGAGCCGGGATTCGAACCCAGGACCTTGAGCATTGGAAGATCAGTGCCCCACAACTGAGCTGTCCCGCTCCCTATATTTCCGTATAAATATAAATATTTCTGAAATATTAAACTTTTCAAAGGTGTATTATACATTGCTACTCTTATTTCTGGAATTTCTTCTTTTTTTCGCTTTTGTTAATTATCAGATTCTTTCATAGTTCATATTTGCTCATTTTGTATTATTTCCAATAATAAGAGACCATTAATTATTTGTAATAAAAAAAAATTAGCAATTTAATAATAATTATAATATACTTTAGAGGAAGAAATTTTGAAAATTCAGCACTTAATCCTGTTAGACTATCACAATGAGGTCAGTGCCTAAATAATATCAAAGAACGTTTACATTTACATCGATATGAAGTTTAAACAAATTTGCTCGAGACATTTTCGTGAAAATTATAAAAATCTGCAAAGTCTTTGGTATGAAGAAAAAGTTGCCGTAATGTCCCAAGCGTATGCGTCCGTCAAATATTATTTTTGTAAGACTTCTCGTTTTCGAGCTAGACTGTTCACATACTCACTGACTTTTTTTTGCTAGACTTCGTTATAAGTGTTGAGAGAATATTTATCAGAAAACCAATGTGTTACAATTTTCAAATAATTAAAATATAAATTTAACAATAATAATGATCCTCAACCTAATTGAAAGAAAAGAGCCTTGATGTATGTATGGTCTTGAAAGGGCAATGAACTGATTAACTATAAATCTATACTCTGATGACGAGGCACAATACGATAAGGTCATTCTATTCTCGGTGAGAACTATTTCCATCTGAAATATAGCACACCTAATGAGATTTGAATTGATAAAATCTTGTAAAAAAATTTCATAAAGATATTAGAATAATCAATATTAATTTATATAAACTATCAAGAAACATTGTAGTCACGACTGTACTAATATATTACTAAATGATTTATCTAAATAAAATATTACTATAATTAAAAAAAACATCCTTACTTTATATAATGCGGTAGTATGAATATCCTTTTCTAGTTTTTAAGGAAGTATGTGTTTTGATGAATGAGGTATCAAAAGAAAGGAAATTTCACGCAGAATTAGCGAATCAGAATTTCAAAACGTAAAACATTACTAAAACTACAATAAAAGTCATCGACAAAATTTGTAAGTTTCAAAATTTGTTGGGTCTGGAAAGGATAAATTTAA